CCCCAAAACCCCAAAACCCCAAAACCCCAAAACCCCTCTATAAAAGATGCTAATTGATTTGGAATGTTTATAATTTAATACACGATAATGTCAGAAGTAAAGAAAGATAACAAGAAAGGCAAGTGGAAAACGGACAAAAGCAGGGCAAAGAAGCAGTACAAGAAAAAGAGATCAACCAGGTTCCAGGATATCGAGACTCTTGATAGAAGAATCGCCATCGAGACCCCTTCTCAGAGTGTTTATTATTACAAGTAACTCATAAGTCTCAAATTTAGGTATTTGGAAGGTCATGAAGAGAAAGAAAGCAGGAAGAAAACAGTTGAGGAAGAAGAAGTAGTTGGCTCGAAGAAGTTTGTGAAGACTAATGATACTAGGAAGGTCAAGATCAGGTTTAAAGACCTTCCTATATCTAATTATACCTCAAAAGGACTACAGAATGCTGAGTATACCAAGATGACTGAGGTCCAGAGATGTGCCATCCCCCATGCTCTCAAAGGGAGAGATCTTATGATTAGCTCAAGAACTGGGTCTGGTAAAACGCTTGCTTATTTGGTGCCTCTAGTTGAGAAATTGTATCGTCAGAGATGGTCTTCTCTTGATGGGCTTGGAGGATTGATTATTGTTCCTGTTCGAGAATTGGCCATTCAGGCTTTCGAAGTCCTCAGATCTTTTGCTGGTCTTCATGACCTATCAGCAGGAATGATTATTGGAGGAAAACTAGTCCAAGTAGAAAAGAACCATATCGCTAGTATGAATATTCTTGTAGCAACCCCAGGTAGACTTCTTCAGCATATGAATGAGACTCCATTGTTCGACTATGATAATCTTCAAACATTAGTATTAGACGAAGTTGATAGAATGCTAGATATGGGATTTGCTGAAGAATTGAGCCAAATTATGAGAAATCTTCCTATGGGAAGAACCCAAACACTATTGTTCTCAGCTACAGCAAAGAAGTCACTTCAGAAGCTGGCTAAGAATGTGCTCAAGACAGATTTCACATATTTCTGTATGAATAGCTATGACTCAGCTGCTTCAATCATGACTGGAGAGAAAGATGCTGCTGAAGAAATGAAGGAAGAAGGGAGTGCTAAAGATCCCAAGTACATCACCCCATTGAAGTTAACACATAAATACGTCTGTATCGAGGCTGAACATAAGCTAGATACCTTATTCAGCTTCATGAAATCCCACAAAGAAGCTAAGTGCATCGTTTTCTTCAGTTCGTGCAAGCAAGTGAGGCATGCTTATGAAAGCTTCTCTAAACTCAAGACTGGGGCCTCTATCATGGAGATCCATGGAAGGCAAAAGCAGATCAAAAGAACAGCTATCTATTTTGAATTCGTAGAGAGAAAGAGTTGCTACCTCTTTGCAACAGACATCGCATCAAGAGGGCTTGATTTCCCTGCAGTTGATTGGGTAATCCAAGTCGATATCCCAGAAGACACTGACACTTACATTCACAGATCTGGAAGAACAGCTAGGTACAAATATAAAGGTACTGCTCTTGTTATGGTTCAACCTCATGAGATGAAGTTTGTTGAAAAGCTCGAGCAGATGAACATCGAGATGAAGAAACTCAAGACGAATCCTAACCGTACTCTCTCGGTCACCAGTGCTCTACAAAGGATCAATGCTGAGAACTCAGATTTGATGCATCTAGCTCAGAAAGCCTTCATCTGCTATATCAGGAGTGTCTTCAAGAATGGAGATAGAGAAATCTATGACGTGAAAAAGATCAATCATGAAGCTTATGCAGCTAGCCTTGGCCTAGCCACCACCCCTATCATCGAGTTCGTAGAAGGAGACGACAAAAAGAGTAGGAAATCTAAGATTCAAAAACTCAGAGAAAAGGCCAAACTCAAGAAACTTGAAAAACAAATGCAAGAAATGGAAAGAGAACAGGAGATAAAAGAGGCTGAAGGAGACGAAGAAGATATTGAATTCCAAGATCAAGAATCTGACGAAGATCTCTCTCAACAAGACCAAGAAGATAGCCTAGATGATGAACAAGAACAGCAGCAGGAAGAAGACGATGACGACCTCTTCGTCTTCAAGAGAAAAATCGCTCCGGACGATGACCTTGAAAATGAGCCTGAGAAATTTGAGACAAAGACTAAATTCTCCAAGAACTCGTTGAAGAAGATCAAGAAGGGTGGTGTCAGCCAAGGGCAGAATAAGGTGTTTCTTGACAAAGACGGAAAGCCAATCTCCTCCCTTGAATATCACATCCAGCAGGACACCATTAAGCTGAAGACAGAGGATGACCTTGATGACAATGTTAAGCCAGAAGACTACTTCAACAAGCTCAAATCTGATCTTGACAAGAACAAAGGACTTGATAACCAGATCGCCTTAGATAGACTTAAACAGAAGAGAATTAAGAGAAAGAGACAGAGACAGGAAAGAGAGCAACTCAAAGAGGCAGCAAAGTATGAATCAGCTTCTGAAGAGTTTGAAGAAGAAGACACTCACAAACGGGCTAAATATAATGAAGAATAAAAGAATCCTTATTTCAACTGCTTTTATATGTAAAGGGGTTTTGGGGTTTTGGGGTTTTGGGGTTTTGGGG